TCTTTGAAGTGTTGAATTGGGAAGCATTTGCAGTGTTTGTTCAAGAGAAAGATATCCCGAATTTGAGAAACATTCTGCTATCAATCTCGGAAGAGAAGTACATAGCAATGCAGTCAAGAGTTAAAATGGTTCAGCAGCATTTCCTATGGCATAAAAAACCTGTAAAATATGACTTATTTCATATGACACTGCACTCAATTTGGTACAACAGAGTTTTCCAAATGAAAATCAGATGAAGATGGGAGACTGTAAAGTTCATGGCAGACATAAAGTGAGCCAGAAATGAGAGCAGAAAGGTTTCATGGTCTATCAGATTGTAACAAAAATCAGATCAGAATGCTGCCTCAATTTATGAATCAGATTGTATTTGAAATGAAGGAAAGGTCGTTTGCCTTTTCCTGCATTAATGGGGGTTAATGAGCATGAAATGTACAGTGATGTAAGCTGTAATCTGGGTTGATTATAGTTTAAATATGTCATAGATTCAGTTTTTAATAAATTTTAAGTCATATATAACGTAAAACTCCCCTGTTAGTCATTAAATGCTACTGATATTGAAATAACAAATGGGTATTTTTCATATGAACATTTTTATTTTTTTATAAATTCATTTTAATGATGTGGTCCTGCATTTTATCAATTCTCATCTTGTAGATTCTCTTGTAAATTAGAAAGCACATGGTATGATGAAATAAAATTCAGAAGGCATCTTTTCTTACTTGTATTCTTCAACTTACATGATGTCTTCGTTTGTTTTCATCCTCCGCCTACCACCCACCAACTCTATAAATGAAAAAACTTTATGCGACAAAAAAATTCGAATTAAAAATGAATCAATTGGGCATTATTTAAAGGAACGAACAGAGAACACGAAATAAATTAATTGATTATTAAAAAAAACTAGTGTATTTTAAAGAAACGTTAAGATGGTTCTTCCGACTATGAACAGTGAGAGTGACTGTTGACTTTTGACTTTTGACTTTTCTTCACTGTGTTGAATTAAATAAAATTGTCTCTGTTCCTACCCTCGGTTTCACAGCACTTCCAAGCTCACGTAGTTTCTTCCCTCCCCCCATCCCCCCAACAACTCATTCGAAGGTTAGGGTTTCTTTTTTTTTTTTCCTTTCCCATTTCTTCAACTTCTCATTTTAGTACTGAATGCATTGAATTTGTTTTTGACTATTCAATTTCTACTCTGGTTCCTCAGGAAATTTAGTCAACTTTTGCATTCTGCTTAACCAGCTTCTTTTCTTCTAGTTTCTGGGGATCCGAATAAGGAAACGTAGCCAAGATTTTGTTTCGTTCTTTTAAGATTATTGGCGTTCAATGATTTAATATGCTACTTGATGAATGATTTATCTGCCGTTCAGTCTGCTTGCAAATCTTTATATTTTTGACACTGTAGTTTTAAATGTTCGAACTGAAATTTTTATATTATTTCTGGTGCTCTCTCACTGAATTCAAGCAAACGTATTAATACTGCTCCCAGTCGTTGCTTGTTCTCAAATCTTCTGAAAGTAATTTTCTGGTTCCTTCCCATTTTCAAGTATAATTATGTAGGTGTTAATGCTTTGGAATACCTGGAATGTCTACACTGTGTTAGGATTCTTAAGGGGCTTTCTTTTATTTTCTTATCTTGTTTCTTCTTCACTGAACCGCTTGTTCTCTGGGTAGGACATTGATGTTCGTGCTTCAAGATCAGTGTCTAGTTTCTCTTTCATCTGGGTAGTGACAGAATTTCCTTTAATGGAATTACTTTGTCAATTTCGAAAGCTTTACCAAAATGAAAAGCGGAGGTGGCTGTTTCTGGTTGGGATTGTTGCTGTTACTCATCTAATGTTCCAGTCGCTGTTGCTTCCTTATGGAAATGCTCTTCGGTCTCTATTGCCTGATGGCTGTGCTCCTGTGTTTGATGAGAGCAGTCGCTTACCCTCTTCAACAAAGTCCGTCATGGTTCGGAATCCTCTTGCAGTTAATGTTTCAAGAAAGATTGATGATTCTATCTCTGCTGGAATGGAGATAGATAATAACATTACTGAGCTTGGAATTGGAGAAGGCATTGGACGTGAGAGTGGACTAAGGGACAGAGAAAAAGAAAATGGTGTTGCATCCCAAGAGCTACACTTGGATAACATTATCAGATTTTCATCAGAAAGGAATGTAATCAATGATTCACTATCTGAGAATGATGATCTAAATGAGATGATTGCATTGAACAGTGATGAAGACCAAGATGATAGTTCTATCCTGGAAATTACTGGGGAAACTACACTTGAGCTTCCCATGGAGCAAATTGGGAACCCTAACCAACATATTACTATGGAAAATCATACAAGTCAGTTGCCAAGAGAATTAAATGTAAATACTCGTCTCCAATTCCCTTTCAAGCCATCACTTGAAGTGCCTTCATTGCAGGATAGCCCTTATTCAAACAATTCAGCATCAAATGGAGCTTCCCTTCAAGACAATCTCCCCAAGACATCACTTAACGTGCCTTCCTTGCAAAAGAGCACTTATTTCAACAATTTAGTGTCAAACGTGGCTTCTCTTCAAGGCAATCTCCCAAGTGTAAAAAGGAATTCTACAATTATTTCTAATATTGGTAAAAGAAAGATGAGGTGTGAAATGCCACCAAAATCAGTGACAACGATAGATGAGATGAACCAGATATTACTGCGGAACCGTAGGTCTTCACGTTCAATGGTAAGCATCTTTCCTGAAAGATAACATTTCACTAGTTATTTAGTCAATGCAAAGAATTTAAACTTTGTTATACTTGGCAGCAGAGACCACGATGGTCTTCCAAAAGAGATGAGGAGATTTTGGCTGCAAGGTCGCAGATTGAGAATGCTCTTAGTATAGTGGATGATCCAGAACTTTATGCTCCTGCTTTCCGTAATGTTTCTATCTTTAAAAGGTAAACTTGGATCCCAATATGTTATCAACAAACATATAATTAGACTTCCAGATTAAACCTTCTCTTGAGAAAAAGTGGATATCAACTTCGATGTGCTTTGAGCGAGCATGTCGAACTGGATTAGAAGCCTTATAGGTAATTTGAACATCATTACAGTGAACAATAGGAGGATCCGTTGAATGACAACATAGCTCTTGTAACATATTCCGGAGCTAAGAAATGTTGATATGTTGATTCATGCTTCTTTACCAAAAATTTCTTTTAGGTTGAAGCTCTACATTTGGCTGTTTATACCATTTAACAGACTGCTTTCCTCTTCAATCAATAATTTCATCCCTTCAAAATGATGTATGACACACCACTCTCATAGTTGTATTACGTGTTTTCAGATGTGCAATTATTGAATATCTTGAAATATTTATCTCTTTACCTTCCTCACTTGCTCCGGCTAGAAAAGGATAAAAATTATTCAAATGGATTTTTTTGCTAGTTCTTACCAATGTATATTTTCTTCTTCCTGTACTTCTCCTTTAGGCATTAGAGCCTGCCTGGTTCTACTTGAAGTCATTAAACATTTTTTGCCTCAAACAATTAGAGTAAAGAATAAATCGACCATCTAGGGGATTTTAGAAAGGAAAAAAAACATGGAAAGAAAATTAGTATTCGCATGCCAGTACGCTTCTGAAATATACTATAATAATCCTCGTGAGCTACATCCAATTACTTTAAACATATGATGGGGCCTATACTCATGGGGCAGTTTGATATACTGTCTACATTTTATACCAAAAATTAAGTAATTAAAAGTTTTTGCCTGCATTTTTATATTCCAACTTTCAGCTTAATTTTACTTTTCAGGAGCTATGAACTCATGATACAAACACTCAAAGTCTATGTATACAAGGACGGAAAAAAACCAATATTTCATCAACCAATACTCAAGGGATTATACGCCTCAGAAGGTTGGTTTATGAAACTGATGGAAGGAAATAAGCATTTTTTAGTGAAGGATCCTAGAAGGGCTCACCTGTTCTACATGCCATTTAGTTCGCGGATGCTGGAGTACACCCTTTATGTGCGTAACTCTCACAATCGCACAAATCTTCGCCAATATCTGAAGGACTATGCTGAGAACATTGCAGCAAGATATCCTTACTGGAACAGAACTGGTGGAGCAGATCATTTTCTTGTTGCTTGCCATGACTGGGTATGTTCTGGATACCTCATAACTTCTTGTTTGTGCCTGTTTTCATATTTTGAATTAAAAAAATTCCATAAAACTTTGGAGATAGTTATAGGTTATGAAGAACTAAGATCTGGACCAGAAGTTCACTTTTCTTAGCTCCTGTATATTGATTAACATTATTACCCTGGAGCCTGGAGGTCGAGTCTAGCTGCTAGAATGAATTTTCATGCCTCACTATGTTATGGGGTAGGCCCCAAGTTGACTGACTCTTAGAGGCTTTATAGTTTATACCTTTCATTCGGTTATATCTCCTATTTCTTGTTCCAAAAATGTAAATTGTAAATTGCAAATTTAGTACATGAAAATGGCTATGTTACAACTGAGTTATGAATTCCTTTTGTTATAATTTCCATTCCCAAAGTTATAAAATTATTTCAAAAGAAAGCTTTTTGTGAAATTATGGACAGAACAACAACTACTCTTTTTATCTTGTTGGTTGATACAAAAAATGATTTTAGAAGTATAAAGATTTTATTAAACTTGTAAATTTTTTGTAAATGGGTGGTGCTCCCTTAACACCTCACATTAATACATTTTCTCTTCTTTTATTTTAAAAAAAGGATTTTATTAAACTTGAACTGGGAAAGAATTCTAAAAAATGGTTCTTCCAAGCTTTTTTTTTCTTCTCTAATTTTTTTAATTATAGTTTACATAATATCAATGAAAAATATTATTTTTTGTTTTATTAAGATCAATTATAAACTGCTATAACTTTCAAACTTCATAAAAAAAAAAAAGAGCAAGAACAAAGGAGTTTCTATTATTTTCTGTCAAAATTTTTTACTGTTTTATAAAAAATCATGTTTGAAACAATTTTATGAATCGAAAGATCAAATTGCAACAGAAAAGACATTGAGATCTAATTATAATGTGACCAATAATTCAGTGATTAAAACAATGATAATTAAGAAATATTTCAATGAGGATATGGACAAAGGATGGATCCTTTCCTTTGTCCATTCCAGTGATTCGAATGCACTTTCTGAAGTTGAACAGTAATGGAACTTTGTATCTATCAGTTTTGTGGTATTTTTTGATGCTCTGATTTCTGTTTCTCTCACATTCCGTATTCTTGAACTATGATGAATTGTATTCTTAATAGGCTCCCTATGAAACAAGACACCACATGGAATATTGCATCAAAGCCCTTTGCAACGCAGATGTCACTGCAGGGTTCAAAATAGGGAGGGATGTCTCTCTTCCAGAAACATATGTCCGAGCTGCAAGAAATCCTCTTCGAGATCTTGGAGGAAAACCACATTCTCAGAGACGTATACTTGCTTTCTATGCTGGAAATATGCATGGGTACCTACGTCCAATCTTGCTAAAGCACTGGAAAGACAAAGATGCTAGTATGAAAATTTTTGGGCCGATGCCTTCTGGTGTGGCAAGCAAAATGAACTACATACAGCACATGAAGAGCAGCAAGTATTGTATCTGCCCAAAGGGATACGAGGTCAATAGTCCACGTGTGGTTGAATCAATCTTCTATGAGTGCGTGCCAGTGATTATATCTGACAATTTTGTGCCTCCATTTTTTGAGGTCCTGAACTGGTCAAGATTCTCCATAATTCTGGCAGAGAAAGACATTCCTAACTTGAAAGAGATTTTAGTTTCGATACCAGAGGAGAAGTATCATGAGATGCAACTTGCGGTGAGGAAGATTCAGCGGCATTTTCTCTGGCATGCCAAGCCTGAAAAGTATGATCTGTTTCACATGACCCTTCATTCAATATGGTATAATAGAGTGTTCCAGATAAAACGGAGGTAAGAAGCAACAAAAAAGAATAAGAAGAAGAAGAATGAGAAGAAGAAAGGAGATTTTATCATCTTGTGAAGGTGGAAGAAATTGGGCTTTGAGGGAAAGAGATGAATGTGTGTAGTTTTGTAAAGGCAATTGTAGTTGGATAGTCCAAGTGAGAGAAGTGATTCTGTAAATATCTTTCATGGTATTTTTAAGCTGGAATAAGATGTGAGGCTGATCATGAAGTTGTTCATGGTTTAAATTCTTCCAAAGGAAAAAAAAAAAAAAAAAAAAAAAAAAAAGAGAAATGAAAGTAATAAGTATGAATAATTTTATGTAATAATTACACAAAATTTAAAATTATTTTAAGAAAACTTTGCTTGAAGCAACAAAATGTACATGGTTCTAATACCAAAAAAGCCTGGATTACTCCTAAAGTGGGAGGTGTGTTTATTGTGGATTTTGTTTTTAGAAAGTAAGCAGCCTTATCCATTTGACTACTAATTGCCTGGGATGTTTTACCCACTCCAGTTTTCACCTTAACCACTCACTCCTCTTTTACTCCAACGGTATTTTAAAATCTCTCTACAATATTCCACTCCCTTAACTTCATTTTCCTTAGCAGTAGTAATAATAACCTTTTTTTGAAAACAAAAATTAAATTCGGTATTTTTTTTCTTTTTATTTTTTTTATTTAAAAAAAATTTACTTATTATAAAATATTAATAATTATTATTGTATTTTTATATTCTTTATACATGGATATATACATATTTTATATATATTATATACGAGTAACTTATATTTTTAAAGTTAATGTGATTTATTATTGCAATATTGGCATTGTGCAATTGATTTGGTATTTTGAAATTTTTTTATATTATTTAGAATTACATAATTCATTATGAAGTTTGTTTTAAGTAAATTCTTTGAACATTTTACATATTTGAAGTTCTAAAATAAAAAAAAAAACAAAATTCTACATATTTAATCCAACTAACCATCAAATACTCCATAAAAATTATGGTTTCAAGTATATATCTCCTCTAAAAATATGAAATTTAGGGAAAAAAAGAAGAAATCAGTAAAAAAAAAAAAATTAGAGAAATAAGGTGAAGTAAGGAATGTTTTTATCCAATCATTACAGAGAAAGTAGTGAAAGGTGTGGTCACAGACAAAAGTGGACTGGAAATAGCCCCACGATCCACACGTACACGGCGCTTTGCTCCATTCCTTTTGCATGACTTTCTTCATTCGGTCGCTACACTTCCCAACATATATATAATCATATATTCTATAAATTATCCTTCTTTTCTATCCTGTCTTTTCAGGGTTCTTTTCTTTGCCTTCAAATTCAATCAAAAATCAATCCTTTTTCGGAATGCGCGCACCCAGATTTTCGTTCCCTTCTTCTCTCTTTAAACTTGAACCAGTTCCCCCATTTTCTGGAGCTATCGATATCTGGGTCTTCCGGATTCCTGTCTCTTTCTCGTCATAAGCGTCTATTTGGACAGTTCATCAGTGTAAGTTATCTCCTTTAATAGATTTGGGTTTTATTCGATAAGCCATTCGTGCGAGGATGTGATTTTGGTGTCCAGATAAGTTTACATTCTTTACTATGTTGTATTCGTTGCTTTTCTTATATGGGCTTTTGATGTTTCAGATTGGAAATTTGGAATGTGATACTTTTTCTTTGGTTTAATCAGTTCTTTTGCTCTTTCTTTTTCTTCTTCTATTTTTCCAAATGCTGTTTTCTTGGAGGTGAATATAGAACTGGAATGGCTGTGCCTGTGATTAAATTGGGAATTGTTTGCTGTTTTGCTAAATTCATGCTTCTTATAATTGTCCTCGAGCTATATAGATTATGACTAAATCTATATACAAAAATATTAAAGATAGAAGAAAAGAATGAGAATATAATAGACTTGAACTAAGTGCAGCATTAGAGTTGCAAGATTGGGTCTCAGATTGTGTCCGATTTCCCTCTTTGAATGTTTGACGCATATCATAGCTTGTAAAAATTCCTTGTACTGCATTATTATACAAATGTCTCACTGATGGACTTGAAGAGTGAGCTTTTCTATATAATTGTCTCTTATACTTGCGCGATTACTAAAAGATCCTTTTAGTATGCATTGCAAAGGGCTGAAATTGCATTTTTTTCTATCTTTTTTCTAATTTTTTTTAAAAAATTTTTATTAGGAAATGCACTGCTTTCGTCTTAACTGAGTTGACAAAAGGTGTGTGTTATCTCAAGTGTTGGAGAATCAATGGGTGATTTATATATTGAAAACAAAGTCTCTGAAATCTCATCCCCCGTAAGTGCTACTATTTATGTCTTTTTAATTCACATGTAAATATATCATTTTGGATTGATCTATCGCATGGCGACAGACTGGGCTTTGCTCCACCCATTTATTTTGATGGTTATTCCATTATTTCTTATTTTTATGTATTTCCGTTTGGTGATGAATGGACATAGGTTTGAATAGTGAGACAATTACTACCAGCTGTTTATTTGAAGGCAAGGTGGCAATGTTTGGGCTTCTACATGATTGGGCTTAGTTTTCTTTTATGCCAATGGCGGTTCTTGTTGCCAAATCCACATTCTGTTGATGTTGTGAAGTAGGCCAAATGTGATGACCAGTTTGGAGTTGATTTGCATTTTGGTTTCCTAATGGGAAATTAGAAAGAATGAAAAGAATTTACCCAGAAGAAAAAGGAAGGGGAAGAAACTAAGAATGAAAAGAAATTACCTGAAAAAAAGGAATGGGAAGAAACTTTCTGATGTAATCCTTATTTCCATCTTGTTCATTGGCTAAAACAAAATTAATTATCAACCTTAGGAAATTTATGTCATTTACTTCAATCCTAACCATTTAAACATGATCTAAAGCTTCACTTTCATGGTCTAACATAGGTCTTCTTATCAGGCATGCTATCTGTTGTGAGTAACACGTGTTCCCTCGAGTATTTTACATTCTTTTCTTCAACGGGCTTAATTTTCTTTTATGCCGATGGCAGTTCTTTTTAACAAATACATGTCCTGTTTGTTATGAAGTAGGTATGGCCAAATGTGTAGACCAGTTTGGAGTTATCTCCTTTTCTGTTTCCAAATTGGAAACTAAAAAGAATGAAAACAATTTATTCCCGAAAGGAAAAAAAAGAATGAAAATAAACTTTCGGATATAATCCTTAGTTTATAATGTGTCTTGGCTAAACAAAGATTAGCTATTAACCTTACGAAACTTATGTTGTTGACTTCAATCCTGACCTTTTAAACATGATTTGGAAGCTTCACCTTTCATGGTCTAATGTAGGTCTTCTTATCAGGCATGTTATGCTGTTGTGAGTAACGTATATGTTCCTTTTGACTTTTTTGGATTCTTCTCTTCAATGGACGAGATTTTCTCTCATCTCTTGACACTGACTACTTACGTAAGTCGCCGGTTCATTTGTTTTATCGGTGAGTTCTTTCTAGAGATATGCATATCATTTCTCTATGAATCATTCTCCTTTTGGAATCAATGCCTTCAAATTTTGGGCGTGCACACTCCATATATTTGAAGCATTTGCACTACATTTAGGCCTTGTGCTGTTAATGCAGATAATCTTGTTCGCCAGGAGATCAATAAGTGCACAGAAGATATGCTAGTTGTATCTTCAGGACAACATCCTAGATCTTCAGGCCATAGCATCAGTGAACCTAATCTGGAGCAACATGCATGTTCCTATGTGACTTGTGGTGCTGAGACAAGGGTTAGAATTGGTGGAAGAGAGGTGTTTGATGTCTTAGTGGAAGTACCTGTAAATACAGGGTCTGAAATTATAGAGAGCAATTACAGCTATTTGGGGGGCCCCTTCGTTTTTCAGGGGTAATTTTTCCAATATAATTCTCGGCCATATAGCTATTTGGCAATGCATAATACCAAGCTGATTTACTCGTATTCTCAATATTTCATTTCTAATGCAAGGTCTTACTTTGTCTTCACTTGTATCTCTAATATTATTGTCCTTTAATATCATTGCAGTTATCGTCATGTGTTACTTGAGTTGACTTGACTTTGCGTTCTCTGGTTGTAGGATGATGCTCCCAGCGTTTGGTTTAAAAGTTGCCTTGAGGTTGGCTCTGGCATCTTGGAGAGTTTCCTTCTATTACCTTAGAAGTGCTCAACATTACGTTCGTAGGTAAAGAATTTGGTTTTTTACATGTCCCTCTAATAGAAGTTCTCAACTTTACATTCATCGGTAAAGAATTTGGTTTTAAATTTCCCTCTGGTGGACCTTTCCGAGAAGAGAGTATATCTCTGTTGGAAGTTGGACTTATTTAGACTCCATCTGCAGTGCAAGTTCTTGTTTTTCTTTTTTCTTTTCATCTCTATATTGCTTGCTTTGTTTCTTAGATAACATTAAGAATTTGATATCTTCAGCGTTACGTCTCGGGTGAAGACAACTTTTCGTGGTTCTTCTGATGATATTGGATGGTTGCAAAACACTCCAGGAATGGCTTCTGTAGAGGATGGTACTGCAAGATTCTTGGAACTGCTTGAAGACTTAAGGTATCAAGTCTTGATAGCAAATTCAATTTCTGTAAATTCATGAAAAATGAAAACTTGGAAAGATGGGGGAACTAACTATAGGAATTGTTTTAAGTATAATGAAAATACTAAATAAAATCAGAGGTAGCAATGCATCTTCATAAATGTTGTTGATGTAAGTGTTATTGCGGAGGATGCAACTGTTGCTGTTCAGCTAACTACTTCCTTCACCGAACTCCTTCTTGACAGTTCTGACGGATAACTCTTCCAATTTGCCCGCTCAATTCGAACTTCAATCTTTTTTCTTCCGAGTCTTCATAGTATTATCTTCAAAAATTTCTCAAACATAGCTTGTAATTCCCCCATAACGACTAGCTCTGATGCCAATTTGCTATGGTCCAAATCTTGTTATGGAGTTTTTGTTAATAGTAGTATAGGCTCGTTAAGAAACAATCTAACGATCTCCTACAGTTAAAGTACTTAAGAAACTCTTTCGACAAATTTTTCTGCATATCTATACCAGAGACAGCAAGTGGTTTTTATACAAGAGGGATGATGATCAGTTGTTCTGGTGGTTATTTCCAAAGCAGTTCCTGATGCACATTCTCCCAATTTTCTCCTACTATCCTACCGCATGTACTTAAATACCACTTAAATATCCCACATAGTACACAAAAAGTCCAGCAAATGAGAAGCAATTATTATGGAATTTTATACTAATTTCTAGATTTAACTAACAACTCCATATCCTCGTCTATCTTATCCTTCAACTAAATCATACACATACTTAAATACATTAAGTGCAGAATTGTTATACACAACACATCTTAATATATCATCAGATACAACATAATATCTGAATAATAATTAAATTTCTCTTCCTCTTTTGAGCATCTTCTTGTTGTGTAGACCTTATCAACAATCTACTTCTGCATTGGACATGGGTGCCTTGAGATATTTATAACCAAAATCAAAAGCTTGGCAAGCAACTTGTGGCAAAATTAGTGTGTTACCTCAGCCATGGACCCACAGTACATTTGCTTATTGAGGTTATTTGAGCACTGTGATCACGAAATTGACACATAAAGGACCTCATCCATCAGTGAATAATAAAGGCTTTGTTTCAGAATTTATGCTATTATTTTCTGATGATGATTTCAAGAGTTGCAAATCTTATGCGAGAATTCCATAGTTAAGGGACTTCAACCTGTTTCATTTAGCCATTCTCATGCACAACAACAAACAACAAAGAAACAGTTCTCTTGCCTTAGTTTTGCCTTCTTCCAATAACTGCATCTGAAGTTACTTGAGAGCTTTCATAATCTAATCTGAAACTGGACATGGAGCCTCAAGATATCTTGTAACCACATTTAAAAGCTTGCCAAGCAATCCTGACAATTAATGGTGTTAATGCAGCATGGAGCGGATGTATATTTGCTTACCGAGGTTATCTGAGTCCCTTTTTTCGAAAATTAACTCATAAATTACTGATCTGTCTGTGATAAAAGGGGCTATGGGCTCAATTTATGTCCCTATTTCTGATTGTGGATTC